AGTACAATTCACTCCATGCAACACTTTATACAATACCGTGTGTGTGTGTGTGTGTGTGTGTGTGTGTGTGTGTGTGTGTGTGAAGTTTTGGGGGAGTGGACTCCCCCACATCTTGGGAGAGAACATGATCTAAAAATAGCTCTAGCAGAAACCAGTTTGGCTCAGTAGATAGAGCGTCGATCTGTGGACTGAAAGGTCCCAGGTTCGATTCTGGTTAAAGGCATGTACCTTGGTTGCAGGCACATCCCAGGTAGGGAGTGTGCAAGAGGAAGCTGGTCGATGTTTCTCTCTCATCAATGTTTCTAGCTCTCTATCCCTCTCCCTTCCTCTCTTTGGAAAATCAATAAAATATATATTTAAAAAAATAAAAATAAAAATAAAAAAAATGGCTCTAGAGGGATCCGAGATGGCAGCGTAGGTAAACACACCTAAACTGCTGCCATGCACAAAAATTTCAAAACTACAACTAAAAGACAAAACATCTATCACTCAGAACCACGGGGAAGCTGGCTGAAAGGATGCTCTACAATTAGACTTGAAAGAGAAAGGAGCATCCAAGGCACAAGTGCTGAAAAACTGAGATAGGGAGGCGCACGCGAGATACCGGCTGGTGGCGGATCCCAGCTGGTGGAGGGCGTTACTTTTTTCCATCTGAAGAGAGACAATCTCCCAATCTCTCTGAAATCCAGTTTCTGGAGAGAAGCTAGACTGTCATCAGGTTGGAAAGTGAGGGTGGCTTGCTTGCAGAGCTGCCAGCAAGAATAGTTGTTTGCTGTGTGTGGGGGCACGAGACATGGGGAGATGCGGGGAAGTGGTCCAGAGAGGCAGAGAAAGCAGATGGGAAGCCATCGCTGTTAGCCACACACTAGCTTAGAGACGCACTGAGTCTCCACTCTGCACAATCTACAAATACACCCAAGCTCCAAGCAGTGGCTTTTGCATATGAATGGCCTTCTCTATTGCAGTTTAACCAGCAAACTTGAAATCTGGTGCAAACAGCTCCAAAGCCTCGATGCTCCGAGCAGGGAGGAGAGGACTGTGGTTCTCACTGTAGCTCCTGCAAGGTGGCCTCAGACAGTAGCTGAGCTGCACCCCATTGGAGATCCAGAAGCCAGTGTTCCTAGTGATCAGTTTCAACTCCTCACACTCATAAGTGACACATTTGGGAGACGGACTCAGTGAGCACCAAAGCCCCACAGAAACAAGCGCATCCAGCGGAGCAGTTCTTCCTTTAAAGACACGGCAGGTCCTCACAGCCAATTGGCCTGGAGGTCAATTCCTCCCAGTGCACCAACAGCAATCAAGGCTTAATTACACCAAGACTTTGCACTCAGCCCACAAAGGGGTGTAGTGAGAGCGACCACCTTGAGTGATTGGGAAAACTGAGCTACTGACCCCTATAGGACACTGATCACATAAAGCAGTCAAAATGAGGAGACACAGAAGCATGTCACAAATGGGAGAGATGGAGGAAAGTAAACTAATGGACGACACAGAGTTCAGAACCATATTTATAAGATTACTCAAGAATCTTCTAAAATCCTTTGAAAAACTTGATGAGACCTCCAATAAGCTTAGTGAGACCTTCAAGGACCTTAATGAGAATGCCAAAAAAAATGGAAAAGGACCAGTTAGAAAATAAGCATACACTGTCTGAAATAAAGAATATACAGATGCTGAAACCGGTTTGGCTCAGTGGATAGAGTGCTGCCTTTGGACTGAGGGGTACCAGGTTCGATTCCTTGGTTGCGGGCACATCCCCAGTAGGGGGTGTGCAAGAGGCAGCTGATTGATGATTCTCTCTCATCGATGTTTCTAGCTCTCTATCCCTCTTTCTTCCTCTCTGTAAAAAAGCAATTTTATATATATATATATATATAAACTCAATTGTAGATCAACGTACCCCAAGTGTCAAAACAAAGATCTGGAATATGAGAAAGCAAAAACCACCCAACCAGAGAGGCAGAAAGAAAAGAATCCAAAAGTGTGAGGATAGTGTAAGGAGCCTCTGGGACGGCTTTAAGCATACCAACATCTGGAATTTTGGGGTGCCAGAAGAAGAGAGCATGCAGGATATTGAAGGCCTATTGGAAGAAATAATGACAGAAAACTTTCCCTACCTGGTGAAAGAAATAGACGTAAGTTCAAGAAGCACAGAGAACCCCAAACAAGAGGAATCCAAAGAGGACCACACCAAGAAACATCATAATTAAAATGCCAAGGGCAAAAGACAAAGAATCTTGAAAGAGCAAGAGAAAAACAGCTAGTTACCTACAAGGGAGTACTCATACGCCTCAGCTGATTTCTCAACAGAAACTATTCAGGCCAGAAGGGAGTGGCAAGAAATATTCAGTAATGAACAGCAAGAACCTACAACCAAGATTACTCTACCCAGCAAAGCTATCATTCAGAATTGGAGGTCAGATAAAAAGCTTCACAGACAAGAAAAGTTAAAGGAGTTCATCACCACCAAACCCAGATTACATGAAATGCTGAAGGGTATTCTTTAGGAAGAGGAAGAAGAAAAAAAAGGTAAAGGTAAAAACTATGAACAACAAAAAGACATCAAATACATATCTACCAACAAGTGAATCTAAAAATAAAGTGAATAAAAAATCTGAAGAACAAAATGGACTGGTGAATATAATAGAGTCAGGGACATAGAAAGGGAGTGGACTGACAATTCTCAGGGGGAAGAGGGTTTGAGGGGTGTGGGAAGAAATTGGACAAAAATCTTACACCTATGAATGAAGAGTGGTGGGGGTAAGGGCATGGGGTGGGGAGGGGAATCAGGTGGAGGGGAGCTATGGGTGAAAAAAAAGAGAAACACCTGTAATAATCTGAATAATAAAGATTTATTATAAAAAATAAAAAATAAAAATGGCTCTAGAGTGAATCCAAATCAGACAGACTGAAGGAAAAAGGAGTGAAGCTGATCAGCAGGTGACAGCCACACAGCTCAGCTCAACACAACTGCTGCTGGAATAGAATGAAGGTCCAAGGAGGCCAAGTCTTCCAGATTTTCAACGTGAAATAATCCAACTTCTTAAATGTTGGCAACTAACACAACATTTTTAAATAAGGTGAGTTGGTCAAATCCAAGAAAAGGAGGCTTGCCACGGAGAAGCGATTTGCCAAAACCCCAAAAACACAAGCAGGTGAGGAGGCGGAGCCCAAAGTTTCTAGAAAACTGCTTTGGGGCAGTTTCCTGGTGGTAAAATACACTCATCTGAGCTCAGGCCGAACCCCCAGCGCTCCAGGCCTCCAGGCTGGGAGGGCCAAGGGCAAGTCCCTGAGCCTGCGCAACTGGCCCGCCTCACCAAGCCCTCTATCCCCAGTGCCCAAGGTTCCCGTACTTCAGACTCCCCCGGTGTCCCCTGAGTATGTTGCTGTCTCTTCCCGCCAACATTCCCTCACACTCACTGCCCCCCCAACATTACCTCACTCACTGCCCCCCCAACATTACCTCACACTCACTGCCCCCCCCAACATTACCTCACTCACTGCCCCCCCAACTACCTCACACTCCCTGTCCCCCAACATTACCTCACACTCACTGCCCCCCAACATTACCTCACTCACTGCCCCCCCAACATTACCACACACTCACTGCCCCCCCAACATTACCTCACACTCACTGCCCCCCCCAACATTACCTCACACTCACTGCCCCCCAACATTACCTCACACTCACTGCCCCCCAACATTACCTCACTCACTGCCCCCCCAACATTACCACACACTCACTGCCCCCCCAACATTACCTCACACTCACTGCCCCCCCAACATTACCTCACACTCACTGCCCCCCAACATTACCTCACACTCACTGCCCCCCCAACATTACCTCACAATCACTGCCCCCCAACATTACCTCACAATCACTGCCCCCCAACATTACCTCACTCACTGCTCCCCCAACACTACCTCACACTCACTGCCCCCCCAACATTACCTCACACTCACTGCCCCCCCAACATTACCTCACACTCACTGCCCCCCAACATTACCTCACTCACTGCCCCCCCAACATTACCTCACACTCACTGTCACCTCACACTCACTGCCCCCCCAACATTACCTCACACTCACTGGCCCACAAAATTACCTCACACTCACTGCCCCCCAACATTACCTCACTCACTGCCCCCCCAACATTACCTCACTCACTGCCCCTCCAACATTACCTCACTCACTGCCCCCCCAACATTACCTCACTCACTGCCCCCCCAACATTACCTCACTCACTGCCCCCCAACATTACCTCACTCACTGCCCCCCCAACATTACCTCACACTCACTGCCCCCCCAACATTACCTCACTCACTGCCCCCCCAACATTACCTCACACTCACTGCCCCCCCAACATTACCTCACTCACTGCCCCCCCAACTACCTCACACTCCCTGTCCCCCAACATTACCTCACACTCACTGCCCCCCAACATTACCTCACTCACTGCCCCCCCAACATTACCACACACTTACTGCCCCCCCAACATTACCACACACTCACTGCCCCCCCTCCAACACTACCTCACACTCACTGCCCCCCAACATTACCTCACACTCACTGCCCCCCCAACATTACCTCACTCACTGCCCCCAACATTACCTCACACTCACTGCCCCCCAACATTACCTCACACTCACTGCCCCCCAACATTACCTCACACTCACTGCCCCCCCAACATTACCACACACTCACTGTCACCTCACACTCACTGCCCCCCCAACATTACCTCACACTCACTGCCCCCCAACATTACCTCACACTCACTGTCCCCCGCTCCCGCCCCCGCCAGCTGCAAGCCTGATCCTACCCCGCGTCCCCAGCGGCGGCCACACACACCTTCCCGGCTCGCCCTCCCGCCCCTCCCGGACTGCCTGCCGCAGTCACCTGTGCGCCCCGGGCTCCACGGGCCGGTCCTCGGCGCCCCGGGCCCTCGCGCCGAGCTGCACGAACGCGGGCGGCGGGACGGAGGCGGGGGTCGCACGGCTTTATTGCGTCACCAGGACGCGGGCGTGAGCGCGCCGCCCGCCCCCTCGCGCCTGCGCGGCGTCCTCGGCCGGGCGCGCGGCGGCGGGCGGGTGGGCCTCGTCCGCCAGCTCCAGCAGGTGCATGCGCGCCGTGGTCTCGGTGAGCATGTCCATGAGCACCTCCTGCTGCAGCCGCAGGTAGTTGTTCTCCTCCAGCAGCACCTGGCTGCGGTGCCGCGTCTGCGCCTTGCAGCCCGGGGCGGGCGGCGAGGGCAGCGGCGGCCTCGGGCGCCCCGGCAGGCCCTCGGGTGCCCAGCGGCCGCCGCGGAACACGAAGGCCCGGTCGCCGAGGCGCGTGCGCGGCGCGCCGTAGCGGAGCCCCAGCTCGGCGTGGCGCATGCGGTGGTCCAGCAGGTAGAAGGTGGACACGGAGGAGACGCGGCGCTGCGGCGGGCGCCGCGGCGAGAAGCGCTGCGAGAAGTGGCTGTTCCAGAACTGCCGCAGCCGCTCCCGCAGGCGGCCGGCGAAGTCCATGGCCGGGCACCCAGACGCCCTCAGATCGAGGACCAGGTGGGGCCCCGCAGGCGGGCGGACGCCCCGAGTGGAGAAGCGAGGACGCTGGTGACCCGGGCTGCGCCCTTGCCTCGGGACCCCTGGTGTTCTGAATGATGAAAGCAAATCAGGGGCACTGCTGGGGGAGGGCGTCAGCACAGCCTGAGATAGGAATTTGTTCTAGGGGAGAGAACAAGAGGAAGCTAATAGAGGGTGTCAAGGGTCAGAGTCCCGAGAAGCAGAGCCGGAGCTGAGCATTGTTGAGCGGCCTGCTTGGTGACGGTTGCCCCCTCAAATCGCGGGGCCTGATGGGCAGGTCTTGACCACGAGAGCCCGTCCCTGCACAGTCCTACTTGCAGCAGGCCCCCCAAACCATCTTCCCAAAGGCCACCCTGGGTTAGGCTCTGAGGACAGAAATGCCAATGAAGAACCAGATCCCCGCTCTCTGAGCACTGGGGGGCTGCTGGGAGGGGTCACTGGTGGAGGAAGAGGGAATGATACCAGAAACAGGTACTTCAAAGATTGCGAGACTTTGCCAGGTGGATTGGGGGAGCCTCTAGGCGGAGTAAAGAGCCAGGCAAGGCTTGCATGTTTCAGAGGTGAGGAAGAACTTGGGGTGGGTTGGTGTCCAGGACTTAGCTGGGAATAGCAGAAGAGGGAGCTGGACAGGGAAGGAGTGCACAGATTTCCCTCTGCGGGTGAGAGGGCACTGCTGAAGGCTTACAGCGCCAGGGCTAGGTCCGGATCTGCAAAGTATCTGGTAGGATATCTAGCACAACTAGCACAACAGTTGCCCGCATCATACAGCTGTTTTGCAGCTTCGAACTAGCACCTGCTCTGTGCCAGGCCCTGGTTGGGGCAGGGGGTTCCAGCCTGTGTCTGCCTTCAAGATGCTGCTGGCCCGACTGGGAAGCCAGACGTGTTTATAGATAGTTCACAGTCTAGTGTGCTCATTGTCACCTGGGGACATGTGCTTAGGGCTTGAGGTAACAGGAATTTTGCAGACTACATCTGACTTGAGTCCCAAGCAGACCACATCCTCAAGGGAGCTGAATTCCAGAAAGCAGACAAGTCTCATTTTCCTTCTCCCCCTCCCCCACCCCTCATCTCCCTATCAGTGCTGATTCTGTTGTACATGAAGAGAGGACTATATGCTCTCTTAAATTCCTCTTCTCCCCATGAAGTGTGGAAAAGGGAAAGAACTCTGGGGCAGGGGTCCCTCTGCTATGCCTTCATTAATTCAACACACACTTATTCCTCACATTGAGCTGGGTAGAGCTGGGTGGTGCTATACTAAATGAGGCTGAGGGACTCATCTTTGAAAGCCTATAGAGGACCCAAGAGGTAACAACAAGGCTCACACTTGAGGTTGCATTTTTCCAGAGAACCTTCCGTGAGAATCCTCACTGCTTGTTGTCCCACACCTGGAGGATGTGTTGGAGGTGCTGAGCTGCTGCCCCAGACTTGACACCATCTCTGAACCACTCAGCTGATGTCCACCTGTTATGAGTCACAATGCCTCTGGGCCAGATCAGCCCACAACACAAGGTGCTGCCTGCCAAGCCATAAAACACACCCTGGGCCCTCCTGCTTTCGTTCAGCACCTTTATCGAGTGCCTACTTTGTCTGAGGTGCTCCGCTAGGGGTGTGTGGAAGCTATCATTCTTGGAGGAGGGGGTCCGCACAGCCTGAGATAGGAATTAATTCTAGGGGAGTGAACAAGGTGAGACTAAGAGAGGGTGTCATGGGTCAGATTCCCCAGAAGCAGAGCCTGAGGAGAGGGTTGTTTGATTCATTGAAGAAGTGCTCTTGGAAGAAGGCAGTGAGGAAAGCAGGACAGGGAAGGGAAGAGCTGAAGGGAACTTAAAGTGTGGCCTCAAGTGGAGATAAGCTTCAGCCCAGTCCCACAGGGAGCTGCAGAAATTGCACCACAGAATTCTGCCTCCTTACCAGGGTTCAGACCCGGCTCCAGGAGAGCTCTCACCCTGGGCAGAGCCGGGTGGTTGTGTCACCTCCTGGACAGTTTTTTTTTCTAGAACACTTATTGAGTTATAGTTGATAATAAAATACATATATTCTTAATGTACAATTTGATATGTTCTGATAATGTATGAAATTAAGATATGGAGTTACCCATTATCTGAAGTTCCCTCTGTCCTATCACCATAGATTCATTTGTATTTTCTAGAATTGTATATAAATGCAATTTAGTATGCATTTTTTTTGCACTATCTTCTTACAGCATAATTATTTTGAGATTCGTTCATAATGCATTTATCAACAGTTCATTCCCTTTATTGATGAATAGTAATTCCATTGTATGGAAATACCACAATTGGTTTTTCTATCCATCTGTTGATGGAAATTTGGGTTGTTTCCGGTTTGGGGGCTATTATATGTACAGCTATTATGAACATCTGTGTACAAGCCTTTGGGTGTCCATGTACATTGATTTCTCGTGAATGAGTACTCAGGGGTGGAATGACTGGGTCATATGGTAGGCACATGTTTACTTCTCTGTGAAGTTATGAAACTTCCCAGAATGGTTGTACCACATCCCCACCACCAGTGAAAGAGTTTCTGTTCCTCCACATACTTGACAGCACTTTGTATAGTAAATCTTTTTAATTGTAGTCATTTTAGTGGGTATGTCTAAGTTGTGGTTTTTTTTTTTTTTTTTTTTAAATATATATTTTATTGATATTTTACAGAGAGGAGGAAGGGAGAGAGATAGAGAGCTAGAAACGTCGATGAAAGAGAAACATCGACCGGTTGCCTCTTGCACACCCCCTACCGGGGATGTGCCCACAACCAAGGTACATGCCCTTGACCAGAATCGAACCTGGGACCTTTCAGTCCGCAGACCGACGCTCTACCACTGAGCCAAACCGGTTTCGGCTAAGTTGTGGTTTTAATTTAATTTATCACAGCTAATGATGTTGGGTGTCTTTATGTGCTATCTGTTTTCCTTGATGAGGTTGTTCAAGTCTTGTTCATTTATTTTGTACTAGATTGTTTTTTTATTGAGTATAAGGAGTTATTTAATGCTACATATTTGTCAGATATATTTTCTTCCAGACTGTGGCTTGCCTTTCTTTATTTTTATCTTTATTTAAATCTTAAAATAATATTTATTCACACAGCAACCTGCATTGCTTCACAGATGAGCCTCAGCTAGGCACTTCCAAAACCCAAACAAAGAAGATGAATCTGCAGATGTCTCCATAGCTCCTGCTGGGTGGCCTCAGGCAGAGACTAAATTTTCACGTCTTTGGAGAGCCAAGAGCCAGCATACCCAATGGCCAGAGTGGGACCATCTAGATTACAACTCCTCAGATGCATAAGGGACATACTTAGGGGGCAGACTCAGTGAGCACCAAAGCCCCACCGAAGCAAGTCTTGCCCCATAAGGGTATCTGCAGCACAGAAGTTCTCCCATCATAGACACAGCTGATCCTCACATCCCATTGGCCTGGAGGTCGTTTCCTCCCAGTGATACCAACAACAATCAAGGCTTAACTACAACAAGACTGCACACAGCCCACAAAGGGATGCACTAAGAGTGTCCACTTCAGATAACTGGGAGGCTGAGCCACTGGGCCCTATAGGGTACCTTGCACACAAAACCACTGTCAACACAGGGAAGTAGCCAAAATGTGGAGAAGAAACAGGTCACAAATGAGAGAAATGGAGGAAAGCAAACTATTGGATATAAAGTTCAAAACCATGGTTATATGGTTTTTCAAGAATTTTCTAGAAACCGCTGATAAATTTAGTGAGACTATCGAGGATATGAAAAAGGACCAACTATTATAGATATTAAGCATGCACTGACTGAAATAAAGAATAATATACAGAGATCCAACAGCAGACTAGAGGATCGCAAGAATCAAGCAAAGACTTGAAATACAAAGAAGCAAAGAAAAACATGCAACTAGAAAAGCAAAAAAAAATAAATAAATAAAAATAAAAAAAGTTGAAGATAGTGTAAGAAACCTCTGAGACAACTTCAAGCATACCAACATCTGAATTATGGGGGTGCCAGAAGAAGAGAGAGAGCAAGATACTGAAAACCTATTTAAAGAAATAATGACAGAAAACTTCCCCTACCTGGTAAAAAAAAAAATAGACTTACAAGTCCAGGAAGTGCACACAACCCCAAACAAAAGGAATCCAAAGAGTTCCACACCAAGACACATCATAATTAAAATTCCAAGAGCAAAAGACAATGAGAATATTAAAAGCAGCAAGAGAAAAACAGTTACCTATAAGGGAGAACTCATAGGACTGTCAGCTGATTTCTCAACAGAAACTATGCAGGCCAGAAGGGAGTGGCAAGAAATATTCAAAGTAATGAATAGCAAGAACCTACAACCAAGATAAAGTCATCATTCAGAATGAAAGATCAGATAAAGAACTTCACAGATAAGAAAAAGCTAAAGGAGTTCATCACCCACACCAGTATTATATGAAATGCTGAAAAGTATTTCTTAAGAAGAGGAAGAAGAAGAAAAAGGTAAAAATAAAAATTATGAACAACAAATACATATCTATCAAGAAGTGAATCTAGCCGGGACCAGTTTGGCTCAGTGGATGGAGCGTCGGCCTGTGGACTAAAGGGTCCTGGGTTCGATTCCGGTCAGGGGCATGTGTCTTGGTTGCAGGCACATCCCCAGTGAGGGGTGTGCAGGAGGCAGCCCGTCGATGTTTCTCATCAACATTTCTAACTCTCTGTGCCTCTCAATTCCTCTCTGTGTAAAGTCAATAAAAATATATATATATATTTTTTTAAAAAGTGAATCTAAAAATATGATGAACAGAATAATCTGCTGAATATAATAGAATCAGGGGCAATTCTCGCGTGGTGGGGTTGCAGGGTGTGGTGGGGTGGGAAGAGACTGGACAAAAATCATATACCTATGGATGAGGACTGTGGGAGTGTGGGGAAGGGCAGAGGGTGAGGTGGGAACCGGTGGAGGGGA